ACCCGAAGTTTAAAATATCTTTACATACTCAAATGATCAAATAAAGAGAATAGAACATCAAACATGACATTTAAATACTAAATCCAATCCAAAATAACAAAGATGACTATTTTACTCTTAAGTGTTAAGAGTAGATTCTTATTATCTATATACATATATAAACATATGTGTATTGCATATATATAAGTATATATATAAGTATATAACTATATAAGGTTATATATCTAATTATCTATATATATATATAAACTCAAACGTCAAAAATCACAAAACCTAAAACCTAGGACATACATATAAGTATATAACTATATAAGACTATATATCTAATTATCTATATACATATATAAACATGTGTATTTATTCGGGTTTGTGGGTACCCTAAATGGGTAACGGGTAATCCCCGACCCGATCCGATACCCACGGGTAATCCAATACTCTACCCAATGAGGTAATTTTCTAATACCCTAACCCGCCCCAACCCGATTTTTTCGGTCCGGGTATCGGTTCGGGTATCGGGTCCGGGTTTTTTGCCCAGGCCTAAATCCAAACGTAAAAAAAAAAAGTAATGTTAATATAAAGGAGCAAGTAATAACCTTGCATCGTGTTTGGTGAGAGTAGATGTTACTAATAAGGTTTTATAATGTTTTCAGAAGGTGTAGGGTTTCGGTGTAGTGAATAGAGCAAGTATTTGATATCTTTGGAAATCTTGAAATCGTTACAAACAAAGAATATGCTACATGGATATTAAACCAGATAAGGATAAAATCAATTAGTTATGAGACATTTCCAAATCTTTTAGTTGGATTGAATATCCAATTTATATAGTTTATTTTATTTAGGAAACAAATATGATTTGCAATAAACTCCTTAACACTTTAATAAGAAACCATTTGTACCAGAAAAGATTTGTTAGTTATAAATACATTTACGATTGATATCTTTCTAAAATGCCCCTTTTTCAATACCCCTTTTCAAAAATACTCCCTTTGAGAGTCCATTTTTAAGTTTGCCCTCTTTTAATTGTTAGTGACCATTTTACCCTTATTTGAAACAAAATTAGGTCCACAAAATACAAAATATTTTTTAGCGGAAAAAGTGATCCCGCAATTTTCCCGCCAAAACACTTGTAAAAACCTTTAAAATACCTTGTAAAATTATCCCGTAAAAATTTTTCCCGCCAAAAATTTTTTTTTGCGGGAAAAGTGATTCCGCAATTTTTTTGGCGAAATGTTTTTGGCGGAAAAAATTTACAAGATATTTTAAAGTTTTTACGGAGTATTTACAAGTGTTTTGTAAGGTTTTACAATGTATTTTAAAAGAGTTTTACAAGGTACTTATAAGGTTTTATAAAATATTTATAACTTGTAAAACCTTATAAAAAA